AATAGGCATGTTCTGATCACAATTTATGTATAGGAACTATCTCTATATTCCAGTAGCGTAAAGATGTCAGAACTGAATCAAGGACCAAGAATAAATTCATCTCAATATCTGTTTCTTCGATGATGATTACTTCGTAGTATTTGTCGGAACCTTGCGACGCAGAAATGATATATTTTTTTGCTAGAAATAACTGACGAAATGTTTGCAACGATTCCAGGACATTTAGATATGTCTATGTTTAGAAATAGAAATATCAGAAGTCTTCTAATGCTATCTATCTGTCTCAAACGCTTCTTGTATGTATATATATATATGTGTGTTTGTGTATGATTCATTCAACACTTCAACAATTAAATAAGACAACTGTTGATTGTCTTATCAAATCGTTACGTCCAAAACGAAGCCTATTTTTAACATGTAAATACGCGTGATATTATGGCGTTTTCAGTATGCCTACATATGGTATCATTTTGTACTTCTAGATAGAGTAAAACTGCGACAAAATAAATTTGACATATTAAAAAAACGATTTTTGAAAAATTAATCGACAAAATAAAAGTTTTTTCGTTTGTAAATGAGTACGAAAAAATATCTGATTTTATAATTTTTTTTTTTCAAAATAAATTTCATCAATTATTGATCTACCTTTACTATTATTCATTTATATCTGTTCTCAAATATTGACTCAGGAATATGTAATTGCCAAAAAAAGCTAACCTTGCTACAGAAATATTTGATTTGTGACTGTATGTTATTACAATACATTAAAATGATCTATCTATTTAACTTCTAGCTTCTTTTCGATTTGTTTTTGTACTTTTTTTGATGAGGTTTGATAAATGAAGCCTTTTTCTTGTTCTTTAATATGACAAAGAAATTTTTTTATTTAATTTTTTGACGAATATTGTTCTTAACACGTTTTGATAAAATACAAAGTTTCGTTGGATCAGAAAACCTTCAATCAGAGAAATAATTATCTATCTTTATACTTTTCCCTCGTGATCTTGAGAATGAGAGTAGAATGTAAAATCGACTAAAGAAAAATTCCTTGATTGTAGACGCCAATCCTGGACAATATTTTCATTTCAAATATATCTTATGTATGAGACAAACGATAGTTTCAGATGCAAAAATGTGTTACTAGTTGAAGAAATCTGATTTATTAAATTGTTTGCCATGTTCTACTTTCTTCATAATCAATATCGAGATATTTGATATCATATTGCAATATACTTGTCTATTTAAACAAATCAGAATAAAATATCGTAACCAATAAAATACAAATTTCAATTGATTTTGTTAAAAACGTAAGAGAAAAATTAGATAAAGTCTTTTTTTCAATAGATATATCTCTGATTGTCCAGAAACTATCTAAATACCTCCTACTTGCTTTTAATCTATTCAAAATTTCGACCGTAAACAATGAATATATCAATATTTTACTGAATGCAGTAGAAAGACCATTTAAATATATTAGCGACTTTTTTTTATAAACTTTTCGTTGAATGATTTTTGTCAAATTTACTTAAATGATCGATAATGTTCATTCGACACATTTTATTATAATAATCATCATAACTGCATTAAATATCAAAGTAGATTTCGGATGATTTGATTTTATTAGTGAAGTTTTTTTAGTACCAGCTATCACAGATAAGATCTTGATGAAATTTTCTATTGTAGTAATATTAACTAAAATATGTTTTGCATCAATAACTGGTAGAGTACTGCAACCATAGATGTTCTTAATTGATGATAGTTTTTAATATTTCACATGTTGTGCAACTGATTCTTTTGCTCAAGAAGATAAGAATTTCTGAAACTGCGTTTAAACACCCTACTCGCAGTTTTTTCATCTGAATGTTTTTAAACACGCATTCAAAAAACAATAAAATCAGCTACTTTCACCGTAAAAAATGCGTTCAGGCGTTTAGAAAAACGCAACTGTTCCATCTGCAATATTCTGACGCATTGTGCATATAAAAATAACTTTTCAAGGCGTGTTGTATGTCAAAAAAATTTGTTAGAAAACGTTGTAAGCGTCTTGGTGCATTTTTCATGACGAAAATAACTAGTTCTAGCGTTTTTTTTCTGAACAGATACTAAGACACTCAAAGGAGAACTGCAATAAAAGCGTTTAAATGCATTTTAATAAGTTCTTATCTGCTTGGGTAGAAAATATTTCTTGAGATGAACTTGTAGATGAAAAAACGAAGCTAATGAGTATCTTTACATTTGATGATTCAACAATGTCCTCTTCTTCATTTACAGAATTTATAAGATATTCTTTTATAACAAAAAAGTTCAAATAAATTAGGTCTAGTCAACATTTAGGCATAGTATTTATTGACACATATAATAATGTAGTTATATATTGATCTTTTATTTAACGACATCCTTGTAATTATCTTCATTGCGTCAATATATATATAAGTACATATCAAATAAGATAAAAAAATTGATATTGTGTACTTTTATCGTACTAGAAGTTATATATAGAATTTTAATGAAAGGTTTCAATCATAGATAGGTAAAGTACACGAGATCTTTCTTATCATACTTTGGCTTTTACAATCCAACAATAACGGTATATAAAAAGACAACCCTATTTCACTTATTTAATACAAATGACATCGATTTGAATCAAGTAATATATATCCTTATACGAGTGTTTTGGCAGTTAAGTTATCAAAATAAAAAGAATCATCGACGAATTCTTTTTCAATAAAATAAAGGTTTGTAGACATACATAATTAAGAATAAAACAATAAAACAATTCTTCTTGTCCCTTTTTTTTCTATATTTATTATCAATTGAAGTAAGGGCAAAAAGTTGATCACTCTTATATCTTTGTTTTTTTGTTCTTTTGTCTCTAAAACAAAAAAACAAGTTAGTATTGGATATCTAATGCATGTTTAAGCAGTAAAGGTGAAATATAGTTAAAAATGCATCATGACACAATATCATAAATAGAAACTGAGTCTTGTGACAACAGAGATTATTCGAGAAATTGAAAAGAAAAGAAAATTTCGAAACAATAATGCAAATAGAATGTGTCATTTAGAGTTACAAAACAATTGAAAACGATTGACTAATTTCAAAAACTTGAATAAATGCAGCTTGAAACTAATAAGAATATATGCATCTGCATACTGATATGAAATTCATTTCATAATCCAATCTTCTGTACTATCACTTGAAAAAAATTTGATTCTAGACAGAACAATTCTAGATCTATTGGTATTCATTTTCAAATACAATCATTAGAACTTTACAGTAAGTAAATTCATAAAATACCGCTGAAATCTATAAACCATATTAGAACCGTACAAAACTCAGTTTCGTCTGAAAGTTTAGTAATATCGAGATGGAAAAAACTTGACTATCATTTATCAAGACCTAAAAATTATCACTACTTCCAATTTTCGTTGAACGGGAAGCAACCAATAATTGAAAGTAATATTTCAATAGATTTATTTCAAACACACATGAAATTCTTCAATCCCATGATAATTAATACGATGTATTTTTTGCATTCAATAGAAAAGAACAAAAAACTAAATCACAAAATGATGCATCAGTGCTCATTATCTTGAAACATCTCATGTACGAATCATTTTTTCTGACATAAAATCTATGCATTTTAAAGTCGATACTACTAAACTTTCAGAAAAAGTTGAATTTAATTAGTACGGTTCTAATCCGGTTGATAAATTACAGCTAGATTTTAGAACTTTATTTGCTGAAAAAATTTATGATTGTATGCAAAAATAAATACGAACAAGTTTCAATTCTAACTCACAGCGCAGAAGTTTCCATTTTAAATAAACGTTTTTACGCAAACAGGCAAGTATTTGTGAAAATGTATTTGACCGCCATAATCACAATTCCTGTTTGGGTGTCTTCACGCCCATTGAGAAAAGAGTAGAACCAGCCACTTTCATAATAAGAAAATGCACGAAAACTTTCAAAAATTTTTCTGATAATATTACTGTACATGTACTACGCATACGAAAGTCATTTTTTATATGCGATATTCGTCAAAATATTCCAGAAAAAAACTTTGCTGAATGTTTCGCAGATGGAAAAGTTGCCTTTTCATTAAGTATCTTCACATGCCTTTCTAGGATGAAAGTATCTGGTTTTGATATTTTCTAAATAGTTGTTTAAAAATGCTGAAACAGAGAATTGAGATTAGGGCGTTTTAATGTGTTTTCAGAAATTCTTGTCTATTTGAGTATTGTTCACTAAAAACAAATGATTTTGATCTTGATAAAATCTTATACGCTAATCTATTTAGTTTGAGTTATATAAAAGCATACGAGACTATCATCAAAATTTGAAAATTTTTACTCAACAATATGAATAAATTGTACTGACAAACCTGAAAAAACAGTGATATAATTACCTTCGTCTCTTTCTCTCTCTCTCTCTCTTGTGACTTTGCACTGTTAAACAAAAATAAAATTTCTTTGGAAAAATAAAATTGCATGATAAAATAAACTTTTTTTTTATCCTTCGCTTTTTTTTCTGATAAAAAAAAAGAATCATCTCTTTATACATAAAGAAACTTTAAAAAGATATTTAGTATAAGATATATCCACACATCTTTATACAATAAAAGAAACAATGATTTAATTGATTACCTGACTAATCTAATACATTATTAACTATTGAATTTTAATAGTCATTTCAATTTCTCACAAGTTTTTATGAACGAATGATTATTGTACGATGATTATTACCGTCGGTGCGCACAATCCCTTTGAAAACATCGTCTTCGAATCAATACTGAGTTAGCAATTCCTTGAATCATCAAACTGAGTTCTGTGTACGATTCATCATTTCCCTCTACTGGGAATCTTATTTCAACTGTTGAATCTGATGAAATTGTTCCTATTGATAAACGACGTCCATTATTCTTTATATGTGAACCAATTGTTGTTGGCTTTTTCATATTCCCATTATTAATTATTTTTTGGCAATCAGGTTGGAATTTTATGATTGAATGGCTTGATACTCCTTTAGGTCAACAGCGAGCTACATTACCTTTATTATATTTATTTTCCCAATTAATTTTTTTTATTATTTATACAAATCAAGATCGTCTTTATGACTATCTCGTTAAAGAAGAATTAAAATTTTTTTCTATTATTTTTTTACAATGTCATACATTTCTTACTGCTTTAAATTATATAATACAGTGGGTATCAATGTGGACATTATGGGATTATTATGCATCCGATGATTGGCTTCTTATGCTTGTCATTAGTATAGCTTCAATATTAGCTATAATCGTTTTAACAGGACATACATATAATCTTGTTTGTTCACCATTTATAATGAGTTATGATTCAATTGAATATAATGTACGAATTGAAACATCATTTATAACAGAAAAAGTAATTTATTATTATATATTTTTTTAAATAAATAAATAGGAATACTTTATTATTTCATTTCAGATGAGTCTATTTCTTTTACATATATTAAATTATATTTTTTATGAATATATTATATCATTATTGTCTATTTTAGTATGGCATGGTTCATACACATTACTTGATGTCTTTTTATATCCAAGTAATGAGTATATGTCAGCTGCTATAAGTCTTCTTATTGGCTATATATTATATTTTATTCTTATGTATACACAATCTTTTCAAAATAATATTTGTTTATTATCAATATTTATCCATTTAAATTATCCATTATTTATACAAAATCTTCGTCATCTATTTGCTTTTTTTTCATGTGTCTTTTTATGGCGAGGTTATTGGATTTTATTTGATGCATATATTTCAACACTATCATTAATACATGAATCACCTTATACATCTTATGTTATTGCATTAATAATATCATTTATTATTCTAAGTATAATGAAAACAGCATCTTCAATTAATGGTCCTATGTCACATATAAATGATGAATATAATCTTTTTCCATTGTATTCAAACTGTTTTCTAATTAAATGGTTTAATCGAAAGAAAAAATCAAATGAACATCCTTCAGCTTTAAATAAAATTACAAATGCTGAACCATTTATAATTACATTTTTTTAATAAAATCAATAAATATTAATTGTTTCTCTTTTTTCCATTTATTCACATAAACTTATTTATCAGATTGTTGTCTTTTATATTTATTTTACTTCATATTTGCTATTGTCGATTTCATCAGTAATATATATAACTGTTTTCTAAATAACTTTTCAAAGAAAGTAAAAGGACGAGTGACGATTTTCTTTATTCAAAAATGAGGCCTTGAGGATATCAAATTATGCTAAATTTAATCCTTTAGAAATCAGTTGATAGATCAGATTTGGTTAAAAGTCTGAAGAATAATGTTTTGAAAATTTTTTCTATTGTATTTTCATTTTACTAACTCTTATCATAAACAGAAACTTACACTAAAGATCTACGCAAAGAAGAAGTTCTTAGACTGTATTCTTCAACAGTTAGTAAGGTTTTTTGTAAGTACTCTACTTTTCAAATATCTCATCTTGAGTGATGTCAATCCAGGACCAGATACGAGTACTGCAACAGGTTGAATAGAGTGCTAAAGTCTATTTCCAGTTTCAATATCAAACATAATTGGTAGATCAACATTTTCAAAATAGATGTTCTATAAGCTACACGGTAACAAAATTTAAATTGTCAAATATTTCAATCTAGTGGTTTTTAATTAAGATCAAACTGAAAACAAATATCATCATTTGACTAACTCTAATGCATTATCACTATGTTGACCTGTGTCAAAATCAATCAAGATGAAGCGATCGAAATCCAGGCCCTTCTGGAGAAAATCGTTATAAATCTTGAATCGTATAATCTAAAAATACCAACTTCACGTAGATTCATAGATTCTGAGTTTCTTTTTCAAATCGGATCAACTAAGATCAAAACATAATAGAAAAGTGTCTTAGAAAATCGCTTTTAAGATCGTTGGCGAAAGCTCCATCAAACCAATCAACTTAGAACCGATCTGTTTTAATCTAGTTTTATATCCTCAAAATTTCATTTTTCCACGGTCAAAAAATGCCATTCGTGCTCTACTTCCTATGAATAGTTATTCAAATACATAGTATTCGAGCTTCAATCGACTGCAATAGGCGTAGAAGTGCGTGTAGGGTAGGTGATGAGTACGGATGTGTGGATGTTGGTATGGGTACGATGCCCTCGAAATGAAGATATACATACTCACATCGCACCCATACCCACATCCTCACACACCTCCTGAGCTTTGTCCAACTGCCTAAGTTTAATTAGCAAAATTCTCAAACGAGTCCAACCTTCTGTATGAGAATAGATCTCTTTCCGCAATTTTTCAGTAAGTGCATGAAGATCTAAATTGTTGTCATTGGTCAACGTTAAATTGACTTTCCAAAGACGATTATTTCTATTGATTTGCTCCATCGCTCCGATGCGAAAAATCGAATGCATAGAGAAGACAATTCCTTGTTCTTCTTCGAAATAACTGACGTTACAAACATTTGCGAAAGCAGTGCTTAATGTTTTTGGATTGATAGTTATTTTAAAGAGGACACCTATCATTGTAGGATTGAATAGATTACTCTCAGCAAAAGGAAGGGATGCTTCTTGATCAAGACTTGTGAACAAAAAATTATTAAACGATAGTAGTTCACTTGATGTCTTGAGTAATTCGTCAAAGTCCGTCTGCGACATTCCTTGACCACGATAAACAGTAAATAACTTTGAAGACGAATGATCGGAGAATTGTTGAGCATGTAGCGCAGCAATGTAGTTGTGAGATCTTGAATGAAAAATTCCATATTAATAATAAGATTTCCTTTCCTCAAGCGTAACGATCGATTGAACATTGAATAAAGAAAAGAATTGCACGTATACTACGATATCGAAACGTGTTCGTGATATTCCCGCTTGTGTTTGTCGACGGCTTTCAGTGACTCAGGATCACCCTCGAAAAGTTGACGACAGTATGGAATAAACTCATTGAAATGCTTTGGTTAGAAATCTATGGTTAATAATAGTTTCTTTAATATTTGTGTACACATGTGATGGATCTAATTGATTCAAATTTTGTCTGTGACTTCCACGACTAGTAGGGACAACACTAATGGGGACCAAATTTTGATCACATTTATATATGTCACATTGAAGTATTTTACGAATCGAGGCAATATCTGTAAATACACTATTGGTTTTCAGCCATAGTTTGATCTAGCCTTCATTTTGGACATATTCCTCATTCCAAATACAAATAGTATTGATTTGTGGAATGTCATGGATGATAGGAACAGTTGTTTGTCCTAAGGAACCAGAAAAAATAATAAATACTTTTTCCTTTTTGAATATCGGTTATGAAATCAATGCATTTGTTCACATCAGTGAATGAATATATCTTGTTAATCACTTCTTTTAATTTGTTCATCTTTTTGATATAATCGTGATTATTCATATGATCAATGTTGGTATCGAGCAATACAAGTAAATAGTTCTCAATCATACAAGCATACGGAAGTCTCCATGGCTTTATGCTTCTATATTGAGACGCCATGGCTACAGTTGTTGTTGTCGACGTTTTCTTTTTGTTCATAATAAAATAACATGACTTAAATTTATATTGTATGTTGGTAATTTTTCTGAATGCTTCTATATGTTTTTGGTTGTTGTCATCGTGTGAGTTGGTTTTCTCTTTCGTTTGACTTGAGTGCTCCACTCCTCTTTTCTATCTGTATTTGTATGCATTGTCGCAGGAAAACGAACGAAAAAGAATTGATTCTTTGCAATACAATTTCGTACGTTGTGTTACGTTGCGGCAATCCCGATGAAAATCTTTATTGTTTTTGCACTAGATTCTTGAAAGATCTAAAAAAGTTCCCGCGAGAAATCCCTGCTTTCTCTTGACGAAATGACTAAATTCTCAGGAAACTGTCGTTATGGATTTTCAATACTCTGATAGGATTTGAAACCAAAACTAACTCGAAAAACTGTAAATGTTGACACAAACATGTAGCCAAGAAATATCAAAGATTTTGACAGGATTCGTGGCAAGCTCTCAAAATAATCCTGAACAACTTTCGATTGTTTTTAGATCAACATTGTAACAGGATTTCAACAGATTCTAATTGAAAAAAAACAATTTCTATCTACATCTTTGAGAACTTTACTAGTTTTCTTCGACGATGTTGTTAGATTTCTTGAGAGAATATTTGCAGAACTTGCAAAAGAGAATGAAAGAAAAATGATCACATGGAGTATCGATCTTTCCAGATCTTCAATTTAAAAAACGTTCAGCTAACCAAACTGAGTCGCGCTATGTTAATCTGTAATTCATGTTTATATGAACACAAATTATTTCAAGAAGTTTTTCAGCATACCATATCGTTTAAAAAATTGTTTTCAGTTTAAAAAATTTCACTATTTTATATTTATTTCAATTCAATTTAAAAAATTTGTTTCTAATTTTTTTCTGCACATAATTTAAACGAACTCGGGACTGGCTACTGTATAAAGCGTCGCATTGCAAAAAAAAATAGCCACACCCAACGCTTTTTGAAAACAATAGTAGCTACATCGATAACATTTTTCATAATTAATTAAACTTGATGTCGGTTACACTTATTTGATTCGTTGAAAAGAAATGTTTAGGCAAAGGAAAACGTTTCGTACTGGTACAATAATTTAGTCAGTAAGTACGTAAAATTGCTTTCTATTTGATGAAATAATCTTTCATACTCTATAAAAAAAAACATTTTTCATCTCCTAGAGTGAGCTCAGTTTTAGATTATTTGCACTGAGTGTACTGCTTAATTTTAAATAAGAATGAGAGTAATCTCATAGTTTCTTTGTCGAGAAGTATCACATAGATCAATCTTGAATCGGGATATTCAGAGGACACATGTAATCAATTGAAATTCAAAGTAATCCAACAATATATTGAGTTTATGATCATCATAACCCTCGCAATATACTGAATCGCGATATGACATAGAAGACTGATTTTTACAAGATGAATGAATGTGATAATCGATCAATTTTTCATAGTTATTTCATTCGTTTTTTGTCAATTATTCTAATCAACAATGCTATAAATATTTTTTGAAAACATCATCAACACGTTACCATTTTTTTTTCCATTGAATAAATAAGTCTTGATTATCAAAAAAAAAAAATTTCTTTTTTCCATAGATGGCGTGATGTCGTCATTTCTTTGATTGGTTTAATAATATTAACAAATACAAAAGCAAAAAATGGTGGTAAGAGTCATCTTTATATTCCATACAACTCATCTCCTTGAAATTTAACATATTTCGTCTGAGATGTTACGTCCACGTCGAAGTGTCCGTAACGGTGCTATTGAAAAGAAAACAAGCATTTCTTCATCAACATCAAATCCTATTCCATCACCACCTTCTCCTCCTCAAATATCAAATTTAGAAGAACCAGAGCAACCACTTCGTTTACTCGAACCACGAGAATGTGTCGGACGATCAATTCAGATTGGTTTAAATGAAGAAATTGAACTTTTATTTAAAAATCCTCCATCATCTGATCGATCATCACCAACTCCTTCCGAACTTAAAACACAAAAAACAGATTTTGTTTCAAATGGTACAAATTTAACTGATGATCCACCTAAATTTCAACGTACTGAAACATTTATAAGATATATTGAACCATCACAAAGTGAACTTGATGAAATGATAGAATATGAAATGGATGAAATGGTAAAATACATATATATTGTTTTTTCATTTAGTTTCTAATAAATTATTTCTATTAAGGATCTAACATGGTTGAAACAAGTTAATCAAGAACGTAGTAAACGTGGTTTACGTCAAGTTAAAGAAGAAGAATTTGAATTGTTAATTGATCGATTAGAAAAAGAGTCTCATTTTCAAGCACTTGTCAATGGTGATGATTTAGGGCAATCCATTGATGAAGATGCTTTATGTGTTATATGTTTGGATGGAGAATGTTCTAATTGTAATGCTATCCTTTTCTGCGACATGTGTAATATGGCTGTTCATCAAGAATGTTATGGAGTACCTTATGTACCTGAAGGTAATACATAGTTTCTATGAACAAACATCAAAAATATAATTCGTAGATGGAATAAACCTTATTTCGATTGTCATCTAGGAGTTTATTAACACTTATGAGATATGTTTAAATAGATAGAAATTTTAATGCACAAAAAAATAAAAGAAAAACTTGATTGTAATATTCTTATATGTTTCTTTGTTTAATGTAATAATTTTTCTTGAAAATCAAATTCATTTAAACTCTTTATCTTTAAGGTCAATGGTTGTGTCGTCGTTGTTTTCTTTCACCATCAAAATCAGTTCAATGTGTTTTATGTCCAAATCGTTTTGGTGCTTTTAAACAAGTTGATGATGGTGAACGTTGGGCACATGTTGTTTGTGCTATTTGGATACCAGAAGTTCATTTTGCTAATACAGTATTTCTTGAACCAATATGTAACATTAATCAAATTCCGGCTGCACGTTGGCGTTTTACATGTTATATATGCAAACAAAAAAATGTTGGTGCATGTATTCAATGTGCTATACGTTCATGTTGTACATCATTTCATGTAACATGTGCTCAACAAGCTGGTCTTTATATGGAAATAGATGAAAATGATGAAAATGAATCAATTGTTAATGATGATGCATCCAATAGTGTATCAACAAATAAATATAAAAAACCACCACCAAAAGATACAACACGTTCACCACCACCTATACGACGACGTGCTTACTGTCATCAACATACTCCATTAGAAGTTGTTCGATCGAAAACAAAAGGCCGAACAAAAAAAGGTTTTTTTGTTTTGTTGTTTTCTTCAGAAATAAAAATAAATTTGTTTATAAAATTTAGATGAAAGCGAAGTAGAAGCATTAGAACGTATACAAAAGGAACGTATGAAAACTGCTCGAAAAATTTTGGCTGAAAGACGTAAATGTGATCGATCTGTATCAGTACCAGTTGTACCAAAAGAAAAGTAAAAGCAAAAAAAAATAATCAAAACATAAGATTTTTAGAAAAAAGAAAAAAAAAATTTTTTTTTAATATTTTTAGAATGGAAAGTGTTTTAAATAAAGTAACTTTTTCTGATCGTGATAATTTTTTTAAACGTATTCAAGCATATTGGACATTAAAACGAATGTCAAGAAGTGGTGTACCTTTATTAAAACGTCTTCAAAATCAACGATCAACAAAAAAAAAAGTAAAATTGTTTTTTTTTTTTTATTGTTCATTTATGTGAAACACATATTAATGATTTTACTTAGTCTAATAATGCACAAGAATATACTGATAAACAATTATCTCAACAAATGGTACAATGGCGTCGTCTTCGACAAGATCTTGAACGAACAAGACTTCTTGTTGAATTAATACGTAAACGTGAAAAATTGAAACGTGATTTAGTAAGATTGTTTTTTTTGTGAAATACGTTTCCTTTTTAAAAGCTTATCTTAGGACAACCCCCACTAGAACTAAAATGTGGGACTTGTGTGTTCATTAGTCTTAACATACTAATGTAAATTACGTGTGATGAAAAGTTTCCAGGGTTCTATTAGTTGTTTTCTAAGGATAATCGATCGTGAGAGAAACAATTTTTCACATTTATTTCAAACAAAATGTTTTTCTTACTAACGTTCTATTTTCCTTTTTTTTGCAACATTGCTATTCCTTCGTTATTGGTTGTTTTTTATATTCCATTTTTCCTAGTTTAACACTATTATTCTTATTCTAACCATTGATTTAACTAATAAATAAGTCTATCGTACATATTCATTATATCTACAGCTGGTCTTAACATACTTTGAAATATCCCGATAAACTCACAAACATTGATATTAATTATTTCATGAAGTTGTAATTTGAGCAGTTCACACCTTTTTCTATGTTGATCATATGATGACTGTGAAAAATAAAGCATGACTAGTCATCATCCTTAAGATCTATCGTATAAGTTTTCATCTGCGCAAACATAAAAAAACTACACTATTTAGAACATCTACAAACGTATGGCCAGACATTCAAGTTTCAATTGAGACTTTGGAAAAGTCCAAATTCTGTTGTTAATACTATTTAGCGTTTTTTTTCCCATCGCTAAGAAGCTCTAGGAAAGAAGTCTGAAGCTTGTTGTTCTTGGTTACTATGAAAATGCACCGAATGATTATTAGCCATTGGTTTTCATTACTCATGAGTGAAAATACCGAAAAACTTCAACTTAAAACTTACATTCACTATATTCTTCGAAGAAAAATATAATGTGAATTTCACGAAAAACAAAGAAGAACAAACTTTGTTTATCTTTAAGGTTAAAATTGATCAACAAGTGCTTGATAATCAAATACGTCCATTACATGTATTTCTTCATCATTTACTTGAACAATTAGAACAAATTGATGATGGTCATTATTTTGCTAATCCAGTGGATGAAACTGAAGTAAAATTTTAAAATAAAAAAAAGAAAAAAAAACATATTGAAATACAATTTAATTATTAGGTTCCAACTTATTATAAATTTATAACACATCCAATGGATTTTTCAACAATGAAGAAAAAAATTGATCAAGATGAATATATTAATTTAGATCACTTTGAAAATGATTTTGGTTTAATTGTTAAAAATTGTCATTTCTTTAATGAAGCTAAATGTAAGAGAAAATCAATTTCAAGTTTTATATCTAATTTTAATTCTTTTGTTTGTTCTATTTTAGCACCATACTATAAAGCGGCAACAAAATTACGTGATAAAGTATGTTGATTATTTCAAAAGAATGATGTGAAAATTTTGTTTTTCTAAGGGTTTAAATTTACTCAAACAAGCTCGACGAGTTTATGAAACAACACGTTATGATCCACAAACTGGACAACATAAAGAAGAATCTAATGTAGATGGTAAAACAAATCATTTTATTTTTCTTGTTTCTATTTCATAAACTGTCCACTGAAAGTTTTAAATGATTGATACTATATAGATCCAAGTGCATACTACCTAACAGAAGTGGTTCATTGATCGATTAGTTTTAAATCTATCTGAGTATCGATACAGGTTTTTGCATTATACTTCAAGAGATTCATTTTGTAAATCGATTTTTATTTCCATAGGATATGAATAAAAAAAAGAAAAGGTTATATAATTCATTTAGTAGTGAATTTTTGAGTCAGCACATTTTTTTATGAAACGATTTAACTTTTATTTTATATTTCATTAATCCGTGTGTGTATCATCTAATAAATCAATTTCGATTATGCTTTAATGAGGGAACACTTTTTTTCGAAAATTGCTTTTATGTATGAACTATATTTAAAAGTAAACTATTGATTGTTGCAATTCTATACGAATATAATTTAGATCTTGATTATTCATTTGAAGATCGTCTTGAAGTATTACTTCAACGATTGAAAGAATATCAAACAATCGGTAAAAAACAAAATGATTCCTTATTTGTTATTGAAATTTCGAACTTTTTTTTTTCTAATATTTGAAGAACCTCGATCAAAACATGTTGCTAATTTAAAAAAACAAATAGCTCAAGTTCGTCGAACAATAACAAAAAATTTATCGAATTCATCACTCAATAATAATAATAATGATGAATCTATATTACAACGAACAACAAATGATGAATCAAGTAATGAATTATACAAGTATTAAAAATAAATATTGTTTGTTTTTTGCTTTCTAGTGGAAACACTTTCATCATTATCACCAAATGTTTCATCGTTAAATGTAACTAAAAATCAATCAGAATTAGTTGATCTACAATCCATATCTCAAATGTAAGAATGAGATAATACAAAAGATATTGTATTCTTAGAATAAGTTTTACAGAATATTTCATAATATTGTGAAGTTTTTTTCAATCAAGTTTGATGAAAAAGGTTCCATTTAGCATAAGAAAAAAGCAAAAATGTGATTAGCAATAAATTATCCGATGCGTCATCATCCCTGCTTTCTAGAGTTTAAAAGCAACAGCTCTCTATCATGTTTCAATCAAAAATTATTAAAAAAAGTTTTCATTCGCCCTTCTTTTTTGAAATGAGCATTAGTCTTCATTAGAACATATCTTGTACTCTAAATGATTGTGTCAAGGTTAATTAATGAATCACTTGAACTGTTGAAATGACTTCTGAATAGCTCAAAGAACTGATTGATCAGCCGTTTTAAGTTGAGAACTGTCTGACACCTAGAGATAATCACTGAATAATTTCGTTATTATTTTTAAATCATATCGTAACACAAAAAGTCGATCTGTCGAAAAACAATTTTTTCATTATTAATTTCAATTCAGTTCTTATTGATTTAATCAGATTTTGATATCGTCATCAATTTCTTGTATGCTAATCAATCATCTTTCTAATTTCCTGAATTAACGATCAAGTTATTCAATCTTGATTTTCGTATATCAAACGATGTTTACTTTTTTTTTTTAGTGATAAATCGAAGCAAACAGAGTCAAAAAATCAATCAGATGAAAGCAATAGTGAATAACATGTCAAGTAAATACAATAAATTTGCTCATTACAAAAAAAAAAAAAACAAAAACAAAGAATATTTAAAACTTTAGTTCTTTTCAATCATTACAATGACAATCCATTTCTTTTTCTTTTTGTGTTTTTCTTTTGCGCACAATCTTTATATATACTTTCGTGTGTTAATACTAATATCATTTTGATGTTATTAATGAAAACTTAATCGTTTTATGTATATATTGTAGAGTGTTCCTATATGATGATTTCTGTTTCTTTTTTCTTTTTTTTTTGGCGCGCATTTATTCATCCATTTCGATTCTAATCATATCTTTAGATAACTTTTGAGAATTATGTCGTGCTTTAAATGTGGTAATCCAGGTCATTTTGCTCGCGAATGTATGAATTATGCTGGTTATGATTCAATAAATTTTGATTCATTTAATGATTTCAATCGACCTGAAAATACATTTAATAATCGTAATGCTTTTGTTTATAACAATAATAATAATAGCAACAGTCTACAACGTTGTTATCGTTGTAATGAATTTGGTCATATAGCACGTGATTGTTTGTCTGATAATGATATTCGTATGTCAATATGATAAAAGATTTTACTTATTATAATCGAATATTTTTAGGTACATGTTATAATTGTGGTCAAAATGGACATATTCGTAGTGAATGTACGGCATTAGTAAATCCAATGTTAAATATAAATAATAATTCAAGAAATAATCCTCAATGTTATCGTTGTGGTCAATTTGGACATTTGTACAAAACATTCTTTTTTTTTTTTGCTGTATTTTTCTAAAGAAAAAAATTCTGTTTAGTGCCAGAGATTGTTCAATATCAATAGAGAATAATGGTGCTCCTGTACCTGGTGTAACCAATGATTTGTTAAATGATCGAAGTTTGTTTTTTTTTTCTATCTCGTCGAATTGTCTATTTAAATATATAAAAGAATTTTCATTTTGAAATATAGTTTGTTTTAATTGTTCACGTCCTGGTCACATTGCTGTAGCATGTCCAGAAGGCAGTCGAACAGATATGCGTGATGTTATTTGTTATTGGTAAAGAAAAAATAAACGAAATTTATATTTATATTTATTAATTATATTATTTAATAAATATTTTTAGTTGTAACCGTCCAGGTCATTTATCTCGAGAGTAAGATTGTATGTCAATTTGTTGTCTTTTTTTTAAAAATTTATTCGTGTTTTTTAGTTGTCCTGATTCTACTATAAAATGTTATTCATGTGGTTTAATGGGTCATATGGCACGTGATTGTTCAAATAATCGTATATTTTCTTCTTCATCATCAATTCAACAACGTCAAACAAATGTTTCACAACAATCATATCATGTTAACATGCCATTAATAAATTAAATAATGATAATTATTGAATGCTGTTTTTTCTTGAGACTTTTAATTATCTTTCTTTTTTTTTTCCGTTGGTTGGTTGATTGATTTTCTTTTTTTTTTTTATTTGTTGATTATTGTCATTCAATATTTGACAAGAACAAACAAAATCGAACAAGAAAAAAAAAAAAAGAATATATAAAATATATATGATAAAACGATTTACTATTTGTATTTTTTTATTATTTTTTTGTTCTGTTTGGTTTTTCTTAGTATTTTTTTATTAGCTATACAAATCACACGATAGATATAATGAATAATTGTTGTACGATTACACGTTATTATGGTAGTAATGAAAAAGATCTTGAACAACTTTGGCGTTTTATAGAACAAGCACAAACATATTCTAATCGAATATTAATTGGTATAAATATTGAAAAAGATTTAACTGATTGTATAACAAAATATTCTCAACAAAAAAAATTATCAAATATACCAGTTGATTTTATACCAATTCGACCATGGATTGGAATATCGACACCGTTGAATATTCTTTTAAGTCATCTTTCATTAAATGAAACATCTGTTCTAATTCAATCAGTTGAAACTCAATGTACATCATATCATATTAATCGTTTACAATCATATCTTAAAGAAGATAATATACTTTGTGTTGGTGCTGCACTTGATGGTCATCAAATATTTGATGATCAATCGAATAAAAGATATCTTCCTTTACAAGGTGATACAAGTCCTTGGAATACATGTAATTTGTGGAATTTAGAAAAATTACGTCGAACAGGTTTTCCAATATGTTCAGATTATGTTAATCCACCAGGTATGGAAGATGGTGCTGTTATTGCTTTACAACAAAAATTATTTGGTGGCATGAGAAAAAATCGTGCTCTACTTGTTCATTTTAATAATAGTGTTCATTGGTTGACTCAATTTGATTATAATGAAGAACGATATTTAAAACATCAAATTAAAATGAAATCAAAAAATCAGCGATTAAAACAAATATTACAAATGTTAGATGTATCTGATAATGATCAAGAAGTTTATATTGGTGTCGAGTATATTAATGATAAATAATAACAGTGAGTTATGAAATTTAGAATATAAATTGTATAATTAATTTAATTTTTTTCTATTCATAGAAATTGAAATATTTTTTTTGTCAATACTTAAAGACTTTCTTATTATTATTATGTGAAGTAGTACACTAAGCATAAAAGTAAATAAATAAGCGAACTAAAAACGTATATTGAAAAATACCTTTTTGTTTTGCATCCATTTTAAACAAAAAAAAAAGATAGTTATAATAAAACTAATGGTCATTTAATATAATCAAGAAAAAATTTTTCTAGTTCTTGTGAAATATTTTCCTCATTATGATTGAATATAGTTGTATTAGGAATAATTGATACAGTATTTTTATCATTGTCAATTGTTAATAGTGAAATATTTGTTTGTTGATAATGAATTAAAGTTCTAATACATGTATGACAAAGATTAAATTCTAATAGTGAAAGATTTTCATAACATATTGTGCAAAGTGGTATAAAGTCTTTATTTTTGAATATAAAATCAATAAAATTAGCTGGTAATGTAGACATTCGTGTCCAACGTTGATTTGCATCTTTGACACGTTGACGTAATTCTTGGTTTTTTATTTTTGAAAAATATGGTCGTGATGCTTTGACCATAACTTCGTGTTTTGAACAATGTTTGTTTGTTATATCGATATCTCGAAATGTAATCGTTGATATTCTTGGATTGTTTAACGATGAAAATGTTTGCTGTTTTTCGATAATTAATTTTCTTTTCGATGAATAACAAGTACATGCTAATAGAGAACGAAATAAATTCATATAACGATAATGCTTTGGTTGTTCATTTCGTATTTGTGTACATGTTGAGCATGAACAATAATATGATTTTGTTCTGGACATTCATGATCGAATAAAGTAGAGATTATTTTAAAATGAAAGTTACCCTTTTTGCGTATGTGTGTTCTTTTGTTACTACGGTCGTAGTGACATTGAAATGTAAATGAGAAAAAAAGACGAATTGATCTTCTTTCCTTGAATAATTAATATAGGTTGCTTTGTAAATAGAAGAAGATGAGAATAATTCATAGGATTAAATAAATAGAGAATAATATCAAGAGAGAAAAATTGCTTTAATTTTAAAGGGATAAAATTATTTTCTTTTAAATGATTTTTTTGAAGAAGAAATAAATTTGAAAAGATTAATCATCGAGTTCTTTGTATGTATGATACAATTTTAAAGGGCAACCTTGATATCATAGGACAATGATAGGCGTGTATAGACAAGTTACATCGTAGCAAAAGGATATTGAACTTATTGTTTATTTTTATTTTTTTTTGTCAATATTGATTCAAATAATAATAAAATTCTTCGTATTTTTTAGATGCATCGCTCAGTATTCTTTAATTTAATACTTTACGCCCTTTTTGTATTGATCACTCTTTATCTATTTGTATACATCCATGAAGAAGTTCCAGAACCTTATATGGATGAATATTTTCATTTCCATCAGGCAGCTAATTATTGTTCAGGAAATTACAAACATGTAAGTATTATTGATTGATAATTTTAAAATAAAAAAATTTTTTTTGTTCTACTTATATTTAAGTGGGATCCAAGTATAACTACACCACCTGGTTTATATCTAATGACACATTTACTCGAAACGATATTAAATAGTCTTCAAATATTAAATAAAACATTTGGTCAATGTTCATTAGGATTAGCTCGATTTACAAATGTTATTTTTATGTTAGCATTACCATTTATTTTTATGAAATATCTTAAAAAAATAAAAAAAGAAGATGAACAAGTAAGTAAAAAAAATATCAGATACAATAATCATATTAGTTAACTGGAAAATTGTTCTTTTGATCAATCGAAATGATTGGTGAAGAAATTATTGTCATACTGAATAAAACTAGAAATTATACACTTCTTTATTCTTATCCTTGGATTATTATAAATCATCAATTTTAAATACTCATATAGATTTTTTTTCTGTATCTCTATAAAAGTACAACTTATTTTTCGAAAAAATTTTATTTTTAACAAGAGTTATTATTCAATCACAAATATTCGACTTCATTCGACGAGCATCGAAAAACATGAGGACACAAGTTGTAATACATCTTTGTTTGAGATCATGAAATTAGAACTACTACTTTTTGTTATTAAAATAAGATACACATGAGAGCTTTCATATGTCTCTCGAAAAATATATTAAACACTGAATAAATAATATTTAATAGATTCTTGATATGGAGTTTTCTTTCGATTTAACAAATTTTTATAGCCCATAGGGAAAAATCTTTAAGTATTGGAAGCAGTTTGAAATGATGTTTTGCTTATAATTAGATTTGGCCGACATTAAGGAAAGTTTTAAAGAATCGGACATGATAAATTTTCTGGAATGAAACATTATTCTTTTTATGGCTTTTTTCTTGTCAATCTCCAAAAAAACTTGTTAATAGTAAACATAACGTGTTAAATGATATGCATTAGTTCGCGAGACTCTATCATCACTTTAAAATTATGATCTCTAATTTTGCAAGATCTCACTTTTGATCATGCAAATTTATTGACTATCTGAAAAGATTAATTTTATCAAATACTATTATTACTGTTGTAAAATGCGAGACATGTCTGTTTATACCTATTATTATACAAATTGATTTAATTTTAGACTTCCATGCTCTCGGCACTATGTATAAGTTGTCATCCGTTAATTTATTTTTTTACTTTTCTTTATTATACTGATGTTGGTTCATTATTTTTTGCAATGGTATCTTTGACAACACATGTTTATCATTATCATCTTTGGTCGGCTATGTTTTCTATTATTGCTTTAACATTTCGTCAAACAAATATAATAATTGTTGCTTATGAAATCGGTTTAACTCTAATTGAAGAGTTTCGTTTAAAAAATAAACAAAGTCATATATTACATGTTTATACATCTCGTTCAAGTGACACAATTGAAACAAAAGAATACTTAACTGTTCTATGGAAATATGGTCGATTAGAAATTAAATTAATCTTAAATCTCATTCAATCTATTATTTGGAAATGTCGTTATAATCTATGTGTAATTATATTATTTTTAATATTTTTTATTAAAAATAATTATTCAATGACACTTGGTCATCAAGAACATCATCAAATTGTAATGCATTTAGCCCAAATGCATTATTATGCTATCTATACTGCATTTTTTGTTAGTGCACATCTAGTAAGTAAGATTTTTTCAAATTTATTTGTGCAAATACAATTATATGCAATTGTAAAAAAAATGTCAAATTAATCTGAGATAACAACTAATAGTTATTCATTAGCAGTGAAAAGAATTTTTATCATGAGAAAATGTATATATTTATACCTAACTATACAACATACTATCATTTTTGTAGAAAAAAAAAAACAGAAGCAGTATGACGATGTCAACCTTTGATGTTTATCGTTTCTTATTTGCAGTATTAATTATTTATATTGCAATTGAATGTAGTACTAATGACAGTAACTTGATAGAAAAGTGTTTTTGAAACAAAGTGAAGCTTAGACTGCTTTTAGTTTAGTTCAGTAAGCTGAAAAAAAATATTTATAATGGTACTGCAGTTAATAGAAATAAGTGAATGCGGTGTTCTTTTTACTTGAAAAGTTTTTTTTACATGTGAAAGGCCTGGAATAGGTGAAAAAAACAAATGATTACCTAAATATCATAAGTTTTTCATAATAATAAATCTATGAAATATTGCTCTCTGAGTAGTCTTTTAAGGAGTTGTACTTTAAATAATTAGTTTTATTCGCACTAGAGTTAGAGAGATGTAATCTTAAAAACTCGACAATGGTAGCAGGTAGTGATCTGCAGTTTTCAGCAATCGAAAAAGGAAGACTTCGAACGTTAATTTGTTGGATACTATATAAAGTAAAATTATATCAGAACTTCTTATCTTTTCAAAATATCAAAGAAACGCATGAAAATAGTATTACTTTTTTCAAGAAAATTTTGATATTAAGTCAGAAAATTTAGCAAAAACCAACCACATTCTATATCGTTTGACTAAATGGATATGCAATTTCATTTGCTCAAGATTAAGATATCAGAAGATAGTTACCTGGACCATGCCTTGAACTATAGATATGAAGTGCTTCTGTCTGAAGAATATGTCAAAATCAAAAATTGCATCGAAATAGAACATCATTATCTTGTATTGTTTTGAATTCTCTGCAAACACGATGAGTTTTTAGCATAATATTATCTTATATAGTATCATATAAAAAAGAAGTTAGATGTTCTCTTTGTCGAATTGCTGAAAATCGCAGTTCGCTAATAGGTGATGTTGTCGAGCTTAACATCCACCGCTCTTTCATTCAGGCACAAACAAGAGTTTAAGTTATATCTTGACCTGCAAGCTTCTTTTTTTTTCTACGACTAAAATTTTCACTCTTACGTATAATAAACACTCGAGTAACTTTCAGATCATGTGAAACAAATTAATGAACTTTTCTTCTATAGAGCTCTTGTGATTCATAAAAATATCACAAATTTTAATATAATTTAAGCTTTAAATACAAAATCAACTAACTACTGTTTACCATTGATTGAATGATCTTATTTTATTCGTTTTTAGTTAACAAAAACAAATCTTCTTCGTCTACTTCGATTTATTCGTTCACATCCAATTGCTTGTATTCTATTGTTATTATTAATAAATGCAAGTATAAAATATTTTACATATGAACATTTATTTCTTATATCTGATAATCGTCATTATACATTTTATATTTGGTCACGTTTATTTAAACGTTACACTTTATTTCGTTATTTATTAACTCCAATATATAGTATTTGTATAATATTACTTTATTTTCAAATATATGATCGATCCTTATTAAATATTCTTCTTTTATTAATATGTACAATATTATTAACTGTATTTCAAAAACTGTTAGAATTTCGATATTTTATATTACCATTTATACTTCTTCGTTTATCAATTAATGATAAAAAAACCTGGCGATTAGTTGTCGAATTTTTTCTAGCAATAATTATCAACATTATAACACTATATGTTTTCTGTCATCGAACATTTATTTGGTCAACACATCCGAATATTATACAAAGATTTATGTATTAATGAACTGCGAGATTGAAATGACATAACAACTTTTCTCTGTATTTTTGTTATGATTTTGCTTTCATTCCTTTTCTTTTTCATCTTTATTAAAAGTAAACATAATTGTTATTAAGAATTGTTGTGGGAGAAAAAAAAAAACTATTTGACATAGAATTTTCTTTTTGCTATGAATAATTTTGACGAGAGTAAATATTTGGTCACGGTTGACACAATTGAAAAGAAAAACAGAAAGAAAAAGAGAACCTAGAGAAATCGAATTTATGATTACGTCTTTACAATTGTCCCATTATTTTCTTTATTCACAATCACTGAGTGTACATTGCTGCGAAGTTTGTTTCTCCATGCCTCAGCAACAAAGAAATCGGCGAAGAACCTCTTTGTTTGCGCTCACAAAAAGTAACATTTTTAAGTGTAAACCAGTTCAAAGAAAAGAACACCCACACACACATGAGATTTTTCTTCTCCAGAAAAGAATTTGTTTTTTTTTATGCGTGTCAAAAGCACGCATTTTAATGCATCTTTACGTGCAACAATGGATCCCTGTCTGTTGATTATGTAAATGTCTATGCGTTTAAACTTATCAAGGGAACAGAAAATATACTTGATCGTATGATCAAATCGTTTGATATTTTTTTATTATCATAAGACACATACAAATTGTAAAATTCTTTGATATGAATTGAAAGATTTCTTTGGTTCAATGATTTGAAATGCCAAACTTTCGTTATCAGTTGAAAATATTCCAAGAAAAAGCTCGAACACCAATAAGAATCAATATATTACGCATTTATTATGAAGTTCGTTATGACCGCAAAAAGATTTGAAATACAAAATGATACTTATAACCCGCTCTCTCTCTCTATATTCTCTTCCAGTTTTTTTTTCTAATTATTATCTATTATATAGAAGCCTAGCTAAATACGCCATAGAGGAAAAAAGTTTAGTGCTTAGATGGGTACGTTGAGAACGGCAAAAAACAGGACAGAACGAAAAAGAAAAGGAAGAAGAAAAATGTTTGACCTTGTTTTATAAATAATGGTGTGTAGCCGTCTAGCGCTGCTTTTGCTCTCTGTATGCAGAGCATTTTGCTTTCCTGTATCTTTTCTCGAAGCAGTGTGTTCGTACGTGTGTATAATGCATAAAAGAACGAGTAGTGCATTTTTTTATGTTTGTTTTGTATGTGTATTATGTGTAGTCTTAGCTTTACAATCTAATATACACACATATGCATATAAAGACGATAGACTTTAACGTATAGAAAGCACATCGAGAATATTTAGATATTATTATTGTAGGTTGAAATGATGAAATGTTCCTGTGAGGTTAAATAGCCTTGATTATAAATAGTCAAAGAGCTAGTGTGTTTCTGTTATAGTAAAAGAAATCTGTCTAACTATTTTTTCTGTGATTTTTTCCTTTCATTGTGTACTTTGTCGGTAAATGATAGAAACTAACTAGACATATATTTATACCTGAATACTAGGTCACAAGTAATTTTTTGATTGGATGTTATAGATCCATAAGGATGAAGACAGATTTTTTTGTTGATTTTGTCTCAAATATATTCTTTTAAAATCACGTTCTCGTTGGCAAAATCATACTTGATTAGAAGCAACCAAATAAAAACTCGATCATCTAGAAGTTAATTGATAGTGAACAAATATTGATAAAAAAAAAGAATATTGGATAATCATATTTATATATTTTTGAATTTTTAATATTGTATTTTTTCCTTTAACCTATGATATCAATGATTGATAAAGAGAAAAAGTGTAAAGAGTAAAGAGAAATGTCCTCAAACGTATTATATACATAAAGACAAACATTAGCAATTCGTACTGGTAACTTTGTGTATTGTCTTTTTTTTTCTGTTCTCTTTTTTTTACGTGTTTTATCTATTCTTGCTTTGCTTTCGTATGGACACTTGTGTACCTCATTTTCAAGTGAAGAACAATTTCATTTTTTTCTACAGTGACTCAAGTTTGAGTGTACACTTTTTTTGTCTTGATCAAATAAAACACACTCCACTCATTTTTACTTTTTCATTTCTTCAAAAGTAGATCTTTGTTGACGATATAATTATAATCCATTTTCATTTGAAACAAGTCATGACTTCGACGACAATTTCATTTAAAGAAGCTTATTTATTTTTTTTTGTTATTTTGTTTTAATTTTATTATATTCTAGATAAACATTAATGAAGACAATATCTTAAATTTCAACAAAAAAAAAAAGAAAAAATCATGAACAGTAGTGTGGATATGCAATCATCAACGATCGAACTCGATGATGATGAATCAAAGAGTAGCGATAATTTGCCATATGAAGATAATACTAATCATCAACAATCTGGACACCATGTATCTCGTTCCACTGTTGCTGGTACAACCGTAACAAATAATGGAACAAAACGTCAAAAAGATATTTCACCATGTCATGTATGTGGAGCAAAAGCGCATGGTTATAATTTCGATCAAAGTAAATGAAGAAAAATAAATAAATAAATTTCAATTAATTTATTTGTTTATAGTCACATGCGAATCATGTAAAGCATTTTTTCGACGAAACGCTTTGAAATCTATGGTAAACATTAAATTTAAAAAAATATACATATTCATTTTAATTTCCTAAATAATACAAATATTTTTAGGATAAATTTCGATGTCGAAATAATAATAATTGTGTTATAACATCAACAACACGAAAACGTTGTAAACGATGTCGATTAATAAAATGTTTTGATGTTGGTAAGTACTTTATCGTAGTATATTTTATTAAACACAATTTACAAGGTAATGTGTTGAAGAGTATAGAGTGAGATTTTTGTGTCCATAATCATAAGTGCGATAGATATTTTAGCAATAATCCATCGCAGACCATGATCCACATATCTCTGATACTGAAGCTGTCTATAAGCTCAGCATGAAACACGAATGAATCTAAGGTGCTAGTCGTTTGTTCATCTTGCGCAGTTATCGTAATATATTAGAATTAACATCATTTCATCATTGTCATGCATTAATAATCGGTAGTAATTCATAAACAGATACACGTTGATAAACTCCTTCATTTACAATGTGGGTAGCTTCATCATGTTTTACATTTTAATCTGACAGGAGTTTCGCTAATAGTCTTATTAAAAAAAGTACAATATAAGCTAATTTCTGATTTTGTTTTAAATATAGGTATGCGTAAAGAATGGATATTAACAGAAGAAGAAAAACGTTCAAAACGAAAAAAAATCGAACGTAATCGTTTAATAAAACAACAAGCGCAATTAACTCTTTATCAACAACAACAACAACAAAATAATGATTTAATTCATTTAAATGTTCAAACAAATATGTCTTCATCGTCTGCTATTGAAGTATGTCTACGATAAAAATGAACGCTGAGGTCTTGTTATATATACTCGTTGAGACAGAAAACTAAAGAAAACTTTATGTAAAAAAACAAAAAAAGTATAATTTCAGTTCTGATTCTTTTAGAATTATTTTGTTATTTTTAGAAAAGAGAAAAAAAAATTTCTATCAAACATGGATTAATAATTCATTTTAGTCTTAAATATTTCTGTATATTTATCACCTCCAGGTCACAGCTACATGTTTATATAATAGCCTTAGAATAATAGACATGTGATATTTTTATACATTTTTCCTCACTGACAGGTACTTGTCATCTCGTTCGATCTAATTTTATTTGTCAAATAATCATTTGCCTTTGAAATAAAAGAATAAAAATAGTAAAAGAAGCAATGAAATCTAACGTCCTAGAAGGTAGATCTTGTTTATCATTGTCAAGAAAAGTTAGTCTAAAAAAATTTGATTGTTTGTAGACCTTTCGTTTTTGAGTCGAACTATAGACTTTTTTCAAAATTAGATTCTAGATTCTGCTAGTTGATGACATGAATTTTTCTAAAACTTTCAATTATAGTTTTGTTTGGGACACGTTAAATTTGTTTAAAATTTCTTTCAAAGTTCTGCTATTTTAGGAAAATTTTTATGTGTAAATGAATAGAAAAACTAGAAAACAGTTCTCTTTTTAATTTTAGTTTAAAAAATTTTCTTTTCTGAGTATATTGAAAAGATTATTTTTTGAATTCTTTTTCAAAGTTATTTCAAAGCAAGATTTTCTACTTAATTAATATTTTCTTGGTAAAAGAAAAAATAGTAAATACAAAAATGAAAATCTACTGCTGTTAGACTATTTCAAAACAGTATACTCAAACGAGGATTTACTAACAATTAATTAAATCGCTCTTGCTTTTGGAAAACAAAAAGAATCTTATTATTTTTATATCCGATAATATGGATTTTTTGTGCAAGTTTTTTTTTTAAATCATCTTATGTCCATGTTTTAAATTTTTTTGATGCGCATCTAACCAATCTTCATTAGAATAAGTTCCCACAAATGTCTATAATAATTTGAACAACCAACGTGAACTTGCATACATAATTTCTCTATTTTGGCTTATTGATAGAATTAAGAAACATAGTATGATTCCTTGTCAAATCTAATCTAATGAGGATGTTCAGATTTATTCGAAAAATATCTTATGAGATACTGTTGACTTACAAACAATAAAAATGCTTTTTTTATCAACATAATAGGATTTATTACAATATATATCTGCAATATAATCACTATGAGTTAAATTATTGTTTGGAACAGATATCTAATGGCTTAGTCAAAAAATATATCTTTAAATTATCGCACAGAATTCACACTGTTGGATGCTCTTTATAGGTTTTTCTACGTGCTTACTAACAAAAAAAAAGGAAACTGATAATCGTCATGCGTAGATACAACTCGTCTCATGGGAAACCTTTTCGGATGTGCTCTTCCGGATGCAGTGATTTTTTTTTTTGCTTATAGATACTAAATAATATTCTAATTACAATCCTAAAAGGATTTGAATTCCTATTGAAACTTGGCTGAGTTATTCAGTTATTAATATGTCTGTTTACTAATGACCATTGTCAGAGTCAAGGTTTTCGAAAAAATCATGTTTCTGAATTTTACCTTTAAACTACCACTATTTCAAGATTTAACATATAGTAATTTGTATGAAGAGTTTTAGAATTTGGAGACTTCTTATATTCAAGACACGAAGTTTTCAAGAATAGACGCTTTTCCAAGTGTAGTGAACAAGACAATAATCTTTTGAAAAGTTAACGTCTTGAAGAAATGAAGTCTTTAAACTCTGAAACTCTTCATACAAGCTACTATATATTAGACCTTGAAATAGAGGCAATCTTAAGATGCAATTCAAAAACATGCTTATTCAAAAATCTTGGCTCACATATAGCCCGCTGGCAAATAGATACATTAACAATTCAATTACTTCACTAAGTTTCAAAAGAAACTCAAATTCTTCTAGAGTTTTCATTAGAAATAATGCATAATACCTACAAGCAAAAATAACCATTGAAATCGGAATAGGGTAATCTACCTTTTCGATCATTAAACACTATTTTTTTTTCGTTATTTCTATTCTTATAGTCTATATCACGATAATAGATTATCATCATGATTAGTACTACTTCCGATAACTTCGTTACGTCCTGTTATTAACACAAATTGCACACTTCGTGAATAACAATTGCTCAGATTTTTTTCTAACTAATTTTTACCTATTTCATCGAGATTATATTTCTTTTTTAACAATGTCGATCTACTGTTGATTTTTCTCATTTACTATCTTTTTAAGAAAATTAATTTCAACAAAATTTTTTTTCTTTCTTCATTTTTAGCATTCATCATCATCCAATTCTCAACGTCTAATATCAAGGAAAACTTCTGAATCAAGTTGTCTTCCATTGCCATTAATGTGTATGCATCGATCATCAGATCAACAAATGTATGAACGTCAACAATGTTTATTACGACAATTATCAGATGGTTATCAATTAATATGTCAACAATATCATCAACCAACAAAATTTGCTTATCGAAATTCACTTATATCAAAAACCATAGATATGGATTCTAAATTAGTCTTAATTAAAGATTTAACAAGAGAATTAACACAAATGACAACATCACGTTTATTACATTATTTTGCATTAATACCTGAATTTCAATTATTAACAGAATTAGAAAAAAAATCCATTTTAATTAAGAATATGCTGGCAGTTTTTATGTTTCATGGAGCATTAACATATAATACTCACAATGATACATTTGTTGATCGAACAACAGGTATTTAAAATAAAATAAAAACAAAGGAAATACCAAATTAAATCATATCGTTTCCTGTCTATTTTAGCTGATCAGCCTTATGATGCGAAATATATATTACTTGTTTACGGATCACGAGTTTATAATAATTTTATAGCATTAGCTCGTAGATTAACTTCTTTAACATATCAAACACCAGGTGATAAAGAATCAGATGAACGTGCACATCCATTACTTTTATTACTTATGATTATTCTATTATTTTCTGATGGTTTTGAAATTTGTTTAACTGAAGAAGGACAACAACAATCAATAGAAAATGAATTAGATAAATCGACTATGAATAGATCATTATCAACAACTAGTGAATCATTATCATCATCATTATCATCATTATCACCGTCCGTTTCACCATCTTCAACGTCGAAATTACATGAAAAATTACATAAAATTCAACAAATTTATATTGAAATAGCTTATCGATATTTACATGATGAATTTGGACTAACAGTTGGTCGTCGAATGTTTCAAAATATCTTACCATTATTATTTGGTAAATAATAATTTTTATTTTTAACATAACTTTCGAATTCATTGAATGAAAACAAGAATTTTTAATGAAATGAAAACAACGTGTAAAAAAAAATTTTACCATCAAAATTCATTTAGTTTTTTTTATTGAGTCCCAAAAAAAGAAAACATGAATGCTTTTCTAAACAACCTCCTTTTATTATATATTATATATGTATATATATTGTTTACTTTGTAATAATAGATCTTCAAAAACTTTGTGCAACATTAGCCAATGTTAATCTATGTGAATTAGCTGAAGATGAAGATCGATTATCTTCATCAAGAACAACAACATCAAGTATAATAGCAACGTCTTCTGATCCTCAAACTTCTCAAATATCTTCATCCCAATTCAATTCAACAATGATTAGTGGAACATCTCATTTAAATGAATTACAAAAAGAAAATCGTGCACCACCTCGCCTAATTCATTATTAATAATATCAACTGATTATTCAACATTAACAAATGCTGGTATAGTATCATCATTATTATTTTATTTTTTTCAAATACTATACCAAAGCTAGAATTATCATGTATATGAACTAAATTTTTTTTCTTCTTTCGAAACTACCATCATTTCTATTATTTCTTTACTTCGGAATATTTGATTACATGCTTTCTTTCTTTGATTTTTTCTTTTTTTTCATCATTCATAACGTAACAAGCTATACATATGATTATGATGTTTTTCTTTTTTTCTCTGTATCCTCGTCTTCAGTACTTGTTACCTATGTTAATATATCGATGAACTTACAAGTATACTATAAATAAGACTGGAAAACATCCTTGTTAATATGAGACATTCCTAGTTTCATTTCTACATTTCAATATATTCCCTTTTGTTTTTCATTTATTGATGTTACTGTTTTGTTATTTGTCTTCGGTGTTTTTCTTCTTCTTACGTTGTCGGTGTTATTGTTGACATCAAGGTTATATATTGCTTAGATTTTTTTGTACTTTAGTGTTCGAGTGCGTGACATTTCTTGTTTATTTCACTGTCTTTTGTCTTGTATCTTTTTTTCTTGTTGTGTTTCGTAGTTTTGATGTTTGGTATTGTACGTGTTTCACTTGTACAGCTACATGTTATGGCGAGTCTAGAAACAAGGGAAAAGAACAAAAAACAAATATACATGAACGAACAAAAGCAGAAGTCTTTTGGAATTATTTGACAAGAAAAAGGCAATAATTGATAATGAATGTAGAATATATGAATCAAATATATATCAGCTGCTACCAGATTGATTACTTATTGGATCTAATAGTTGAAAAACTATTCACAGATAACACAAAGTATGTCAATTGGAGGAAATTCAAAACTTTAGCAAAGTTTTTTCTTTCATTTTCATGTGGTTGGATAGAGCTCACAAAACTACATAAGCAAATATGTTTTTAAATTTTTTTCCAAGTCCTTATACAAGGAAAACAAATCAAAATACGGAAGCATTCATATTTTAATAGACATTGTCATAGTTTTGAGAGATAAAGGTTCGTTTTTTGAAACTCTATTCTAATGGTTTGGAAACTGGTCGATGACAACGTGATTGATATTAGATTTAGACTAGAGGTGCCATTTTAGCGTTAAGTTAGCCTTATTTTTAATTTTAATATGTATATTCTAAGTAAATTTTCAGGCGTTACCTAAACAAGCCACTTGTAACTTTTCTTAGTCTAGATAGACGTTATGTCTGTAGTGCTTGTGTAACTCACATGTATTATTGAACAAGATTATGAGTGTAAGTTTAAATCGAGATTTCTTCAGTCCGATTTTCCACATCTTAGCAAATGCATTAGCAAGATGAGGATCAAGCTAAGTAGACGAGAGAAGATGGACTAAATACTTCTAGGCGCCCAGAAACTTGCTATGCATATTTTCATTTTTTTGAAGGATATATGATAAAAATTTGGAAATCCTCCTCCCGCACCCTCCAGATAACGTGACACACGCTGGTCAAAGACCATCACAGCTTGTTGCAAAGGTTAGTCAAAGATAACCGAAGACCATGACCGACGCTAGTCGAAGTTTGTGATAGATGTTTGTCAAAAACCCTCCAAGGTTGTACATCAATAATGTCTCGTTTTCATATATCAACTAATTCCTTATTACAATTTTGTAAAATCCAGTAAAAGAATGATGAAGAAATTTGTCTCGAATTGGATAGAATATAAAAGTCTACCTGTGAGCAGTAACAACAGCTATATCCTGTTGCATATTTTAATTCCTTAGAGGCTGGACTAACAGATTTGGTATAGAAAATAAATTGATTTGTGACTCAAGCGATTATGACAATGATGTTGAAATAATTAAAGATTATCGTATATGATTAGTTAATTATTTTTCTCTAGTGGCAATATGAACGTTGTTTGATTTTCAAGTGTCCTTTGCGATGAACTACGCTATTTGTTTTGCTGTTTTAAATTTTCACTATTCTCTGCTCATTCAAGTACAATGTCTGTAAAAAAAAGCAGATCATTTACAATAGGTTCGATTCTAGTTTGAGGTTTATGAAACAGAAGTCTCAATGGGTTAGGCTGGGCTGATTGGATTTTTAGATGGGCGCCCATGGCCTGAATTTGGAATAAAATATAAAATTTTCAAAGAATTTCGCGTATTTGTATTAAACTTATTTCGAAAAATACCATGCAATTCGTCCATTGACAAAAACATTACTGCTGTGAACAGCAAATACATGTATATCAAGAAAGACAAAGAAACAGATAAAATTGTCGTCATGTCAAAAATCTTTCTTTATATTCAAAAAAAGGTATTGTTATCTAGTTCTTCTCGTTCATCAACAATTACAGTATCATCATTAATGACTTATTTTTTTCTTTAACTACTGGTGCTCATTTATCATCGCATCAAAACAATATAGATTTGAGCAAATAAACGAAAATGCTGCTTTTTCTATGGTTTATACTTATCTCTCGTTTTTTTTTGTTTCATTTACCAATTTTTTGGTTATGAACGGCATGACGATATGAAATAACACAAGTAGACATTGAATATTTTCGGTACTAGTGAAAAAAATCATTATTTTCAAAGCTTATTCACCTTCACGTAAAATACCCTAAACATAGTTAGTGTTCATAGGTTTGAATTATGAAAAATGACGTAGTTTTATTGGAAATAAGCATAGTTTTCGAAGTCAGCATGCAAAAATACATTAGAAAGTCCATATTTCATTGGAAAAGACATTCAACCAAATTCTACCCATAGGATAATACAGCTAAAGAATACGGCCGTTTTTCAATAGTGGTACAAGTTCAATGAAATTTGGATAACTGGTGAAACTAAATAAGATACATTTACCGTAAAATTTTCAGCTCCATATGTCTTGTTGAAGAGGACTTATAATGAAAATACGTCTACATGAAATTAATGTAATGATAAAAGTTTTGTTTAGTATGATTTTCCCACATGTTCTGTATTTTTTAGATTTCATAGCACGAAAAAGTTACTTTACATACAATGGGACAGAGCTTCGAATGTTCTACATTTCTATCCTTCTTTGAATATTTTTTGATACTCCTTGAAACACTTTCGAAATATGAGAAAAGTGAATCCCTCCGTCTTTTTAACGAAATTTTGGCTTTTTGACAGATAGTATAGTTCGATCTTGTGACAGTATCTCCATAACTACATGTTGTCGTAAAGTCAAACGTTCATAAAAACTGCGTTTTTATTTGAGTTATTTCTGCTACAGTTTGAAGAGAAACGGTATCGTTCGAAAAGAGATATGTTCATGCCAAGGACAAAAGGCTATCGATATTTGTTCACATTTTGCTAGAAAAAAGAGATCATTTTTCTTATTTCAGTTAAATGCTTGCCAAATTGACGCTAGATTTAAGATCTTAATCATCATCAATAAAAAAAACCATTCTATGCAGTTACTATAATAATGAATTCGTAATTGAAATCTTTATAAAATCCTTTATCGTTCATTCCTCTTTAGAATAATTATATTTTTAATTGTCGTTGTAGCCTATTAGAACCTTATTATTGAGCAACTATTATATTTTTCACTCTAATTTGAGTATATTGGTGAGTGTAGAGTAGAGATGAATGTGCGAGCATAGGTACACAAGTAAGTTACATAAAACTAGATATATCTGTAATCCAAACGGTCAGATTTGTTGATTTTAGTCAAATGAGTGTAGATTCTGGTTTGGGTTTGCGTTTAGTACTGAAAGTAATCGACTGATTCCAGTTTGAACTTATCCTCTCTTCTGCTTATGTCATTTCCTTCCAGAGATGCACCAATTTCAATTTTGGTCAATGCCAATTCTTCTACTAAAGCGGACTTAGCTAGAATTAGAATTGGTGTATCCTTGGAATAAAATAACATAAGCAGAAATGGGTCTAAGTGGATTGGACCAAATCCGAATTCAATACCCAAACTCATTTGAACAAACTCATTATATCTAAACGTTTAGGTTTGGCACGTGTCTAGTTTTGCGACAATCACTCGCACATCTATGCCTTCACATCCACGTCGACGCTGCACTCGTCCATATCCTGAAAAATATTGTACAAACGAAAAAATTAATTTGGCAAAGAATACATTGTTAATTTGGGCAAAAAAATCTGGTATTAATTGATCCATAGATTCTAGTGATATTATTCTTGATGAATGTATATCTTCTCTAATAACAGCTAATTCTAGAATGAAAAATCGTGCTGATAATAATCCAACAATGAAAAAATCGCAGAAAATCATTGATACATTCTTGTTCATATGGTGTTGCGCAACAACGAATATTTCGTGATTTAAATGTGATCAATGAGTGTGTGAGATCATTCATGCGACTTAAAAAAATGGATTCATTAATAAATGAAAATGATAAAAAGTTGCATATATTGCGCAAACAATATAAATAAACAGCAAATTAACTCAAACATCTCTAAAAACATGCCCATGCTCAGAAGTATTTTGAGAGATGAACAAAAGACAAAATGACGAGCAATTACAAAATCTCATTCTGATGTTGGTCGTGTTTTAAAGAAAGTATTGCAAAGAATTGATGTTATTTTCTGTGTTAAAATGAATTAAAATAAGCTACCGAAATGCACACAAATAATAAAAATAATCTTAGAGAGAAAGTTCCGTCTCAAACTACGTGATCATGGAAGGAGATCTAGCATGGCGATGTTTATGAGACTTTTAGATATAAGAATATAGAACTACATTTTTCATTTATCACTAATTGTACATTTAATTTGATTTAAATGATTTCGCATTGCATAATTACGTATTTAAACTATTTAAAACGTCTACTTTTCATATAGCAGAATCAAAAGAGAAGCGAAAAACAACAAATTATAATTCAATGACTTTTGCTAAAAACCTCATAATCGTGGAAACAATAAGTCATCTTGGTCTCTAAGTCTATGTCACACCTTCAAAGTAAATTATGTTTTCGTAGTGACATAATAT